CTAGCTATCTAGTCTCTCTTGCCACGAAGTCTGGAGGCTGAGGTAGGGACATCGCACCTGGAACTTCCAACACTCCTGGCAAAAGGTATCCATCAGGGCAACCAAAACCGTTTATCTTCCAGTTTCTCAAATCAGACTACGATCTGTCTCCTCCAGAAAAGCCTTCAGTCAACACTACCACCCTCTGGTTCAGCAAGTTTCCCCTCAAAAGATGATTTTTTAAAAAAAATAGTCTATGGCCCCCAGTCACACGGACCAGATAACATGGGGGGGAGGCATGACTGTTCGCCCCGGAGCAAAATAAAGCACGGTAGCCCGATCACACGGTCCCTCGAGTCTCTGTGCTTCAGCTGTTAGCTGGCGATCACACGGCGATGCTGCAGCATGGCAAAGAAGCGGCACGGTGTGATCACACAAGCGTTTCGCATTTGTGTGCATGTGCAGTTCCGCGGAGCAGCACTGCTTTCAGTTTTGTGTTTGTGCGCATGCGCTTACGAAAAACATCCGGTTTGCGATGGCACGTGGACGGGCGCTGGATGCCACACGATACTAGCGCTCCCACGATCAGACACCCGCCTTTGCCGTGCACTTTCCTTGGTAGTTTTTAACTCCGCATCTTCGGCGGGATGCCACGGGTTGGTCACGGGTGCACTACGCTTCCCAGATGTTGCAGTGTGATCACGCCCCGAAAATCCGCCCGACATTCGTGCTTTTCACGCTGCAAATTCTCCGTTGTGACCGGGGCCAACGTTTGTTTAAGTGACTTAGCCTGAGGGATGGAAGCTGGGCCACTTCACTGCCTCCTCCAAGTCAGTTGGGATTTTGCCACCCTAAAATGAAGCACTTATCATTCCCCGGATCCAGGCAGTTGATTCAAAATGATTCTCAATAGCTCATAATATCAAGGAAGCTGCTTGGAATTCAGCTAGCCAGACAGCTTCTTGGAAGACTGCCAAAAAAAGGCAGACCATGAAAAAAAACAGGGGCAGAAATTCAAGAAAACACACATCTGCTGCAGAAAATGGCAGCTTTGTGGCACATGATCCTCTTTCCTCTCCTGGCCCTGACACAAGGTTGCCAGCCTCCCCGGGGAGGCCTGTGATCTACCATAATTTCAGCTGATCTCCAGACAACAGAAATCAGTTCCCTGCTGGAGAAAGCAGTTGCTTTGGAGGGCAGACTCTATGGTATTATGCCCTGCTGAGTTCCCTCCTTTCCCCAACCCTGCCTTCCCCACTTCTTCACACGCAGCCAGCTGGGTGACCTTGGGTCAGTCACAGTTCTCTCAAAGCTCTCTCAGCCCCACCTACCTCACAGGGTGTCTGTTGTGGGGAGAGGAAGGGAAGGAGATTGTAATCTGCTCTGAGACTCCAAGTGAAGGACAGGGTATAAATCCTCCTCCTCCTCCTCTTCTTCCTCCTCCTCCTAAGAATTTCCTCACCAAGAGCTGGCAACCCTGTGACACATATTTCCTTTTCCTGTTGCCAGTTGTCACGGCTCAGGTGGGGTGTCACCTGATGCTGCCACCACTCTGGTTCCAGGCTCCTCTGAGAAGGCCCAGAGCACCCTCCCAGGCCTTTAGACCTCCCTTTTGGCCGAATAATAGGCATGAGGACCAGGCAGAGTAAGCAACAAGGAAAAGGTTTATTTTATCGGAGGTCAAACAAACAAGGTGCAGGAATAATAACAGTAAGTGGGTGAAAAGAAAAGAAATCAAATGCCCTAACGCATCTAAATATATACTGTCTCTAGCTTACTATCTCTCAAGTGGCCTTAGACTACTCACTCTTCCCTCAGGATGAGGTTTTTTTTCCCCACAGCAGCCTCTCTTCTGGCCCTGTCCCCTGGGAAGAACAGGTTTTTCTCTTGCACCAGTTCTTTTATTCCCCAGCCCTCTTCTTCCCTATTGGTCAAAATCGGCGCCAAAACGTCCCAAGGCCTTCTGGGGTTTGTAGGCCCAGCCTCCCCTACCACTAGCCAGGCTCCCTGGGCCTAGTAGGCTTCTGGTGGCACAGCCCAGATCATGACACCATTAGTGGCAGCCAATTATATGGCAAAGGAGCCAGAAACTCTCAAAGCATAGGAGGTGTTTTACTTCCCAATATAAGGGAAAGAAGACAATTTAATATGGGACAACCATTTTTTTTTTAGATCAGCCCTGTGTTTCTTCTTGCACGGCTAACACCGACACCACCACCCTTCCCATGCATACACACGGCAATTTCTCCTTTTCATCTTTTGCAGGTTTAAACTTGTCTGTTAACCTCAGGTTTCCCACACCTGCCCAATCCAAACAGACTCGCTCCTGCCTTGAAAGCAAACAGTCCACGCCTCTCTGTGCGCTCACAGTGGCAGCACAGAGGCAGGGCGCAAGCAAGGCACAACCAGGCATGCCTCCCAGCACATGAAATTGCAAGAGAGTGCCATTGTCCTCCTGAGAGAGGACCAGCGGAATCTTGATCTCCCACATACTGAGCATGCTGCATTGCAAAGGAATGAAAAAATATGCTGCAACCTTTCATGGGAATTGATGTTTGCCAGACATAGATAGGAAAGCCAGGCACAGGGCTGCCAGGCCACTGGTGGGGGATGGGGGGGGGTTAGGGTCACAAGATGCAGGATGGGAAACTCCTGGAGATTTGGGGATGGAGCCTGGGGAAGTCCGGGACCTCAGTGGGGTACAATTCCATAGAGTCCCCCCTCCAAAGCATCCATTTTCTCCAGGGGAACTGATCTCTTTAGGTGAGCTGCGATTCCAGGGGATCCCCAGGTCCCACCTGGAGGCTGCCATCCCTATGACAAACTAGTGGTTAGAAGGTTGAAATATCCCACGTGGGCTTCTCTTATGTTCTTATGTGGAGCAGAGGTCCCCTCTTCCCCTCCCCACAACAGACACCCTGTGAGGTAGGTGGGGCTGAGAGAGCTCTTTTGAGCACTGTCCTTGAGAGAACAGCTCTGAGAGAATTTATGACTGACCCAAGGTCACGCAGGCAGCTGCATGTGAAGGAGTGGGGAATCAAACCTGGTTCTCCCAGATTAGAGTCCACTCTCCTAACCACTACACCAAACTGGTTCATTGTATATTACAGACAAAGTCCAAAAAACCTTTTCAGTGTAATGAAGGGGACGTTGGGGAGAAATATTATTCTTTTATATTTGGTTATATATGATCATCTATGATATATTTAATTATGTTAGGTAACCCCATTTTTCCTTTCTGTATTTTCTTTGTATTATTTCTCTGTCCCTTTCAAAAAATAATGAGAGAGAGAGAGGGAGAGAGAGAGAGAGAGTTGAGCTAGGATCTGGGGGACCCAGGTTCAAAGCCCCATTTTAACATGAGGCTCACTCGGTGCCCTTGCAGCGGTCACTCTCTCTCAGCCTAACCTACCTTACAGGGCTGTTGTGAGGATAAGGGAAGGGAGGAACATATATGCTGCTCTAAGCTCCGGAGACGAACGGTGTGATCAAAATATTCTGGACAAATAAAGGTTTCGCCTTGCAAGTGACTTGCCATTAATGTAACTGAAGGTGATTGAAACATTGGCAAACTATGTCCCCAAACCATGAAAAAGTAAGGAGATACTGGTCATGGACATCTGTTCGACGATCTACACATGTTGACGTCTCTTGGAGAGGAGCCAGAGCTTCAGCTGCCACTGCAGCAAACTAAGACTTGGGTTCAAATCACTGCTTTGCAACAAAACTTCTTGACTGATAGGGTTGCCAGCTCCAGGGCTGAGACGTACTTGGAGATCTTGGGAGGTGGAGCCTGGAGGGGTGGGGTTTGGGGGGGGGAGGGGGAGGGGTATAATGCCATAGAGTCCACCTTCCAAAGCATCCATTTTCTCCAGGTGAACCAATCTGTCACCTGGAGATAGGGTTGCCAAGTCGCTCGGTCTCACCGGCGGGGGAGCGTTGCTTGGGTCCGGGGGCTGCCGATGGATGTGCGTTTGTAACCAACGCTGCTTACAAAATCATTCTCCTGTCCTCCATTTTACCCTCACAGCAACAAGCCTGTGAGGTAAATTAGGCTGAGAGACAGAAAGCCGTGACAGAGTCAAGGTCACCCATAGAGCTTCCATGACAGAGCTGCGGTTTAAACTTGAGCCTCCCAAACCCGAGTGCGACAGTCTAGCTACACTACACTGATAGGACAGTGTTCGGGGGGGGGGGGGGGGGGATAGCTCCATCCTGACTCCAATCCTGGTTGTTTGAACATGTTACATTTTATCCCAGATGCTAAAAATCTTGTCCTGGTAAATGAGAATAATTGCTTAGGCTGCATTCAGAATTCAGTAGTTTGCTCAGACCATCTCAAAAACAGAGCTGAATGAAGTGCGGGGGGGGGGACCATAAAAATGATCAAAAAGGGTTGGAGCATTTTTCTTCCAAGGAAACGGTTTGGGGCTATTTAGTTTTAAAAGAAGGAGCGGATGCGTGACAGACGTCCTTACAAATTGCAAATAGTGTGGAGAAAGTGGACAGAAAGATTTCTTCTCCTGTTCTCACAAGAATTTGGGACAGATAGTTCAGTCTGCAGGCGGTGCCTTCAGGGCAGACAACATGTATTTCATCACACAAGGCACAGTTAATAGATGGAACTCACTGCCACAAGCTATACCAATGAGCTGCTGCCTCATATAGCTAAAGTGGCTAATAAACACTGTAATAATAGCTAATGGTTGGGGACACTTGATGGAGAGGATGTAGGAATAGATACTAGGTGGGGACACTTGATGGAGAGGATGTAGGATTTGGCTAGACACTGCTGGAAAGGAGGCTCCGGGACCTACGGACCCACGGCCTGACCCAGCAAAGCTGCTGTTATGCCAGGGGGAAAAAATCAACAGGTGTAAATTGCCCACTGCTGTCTCTCCCTACTAAATGAGCGCTACAGTCAGAAATTTTTGCCTTTGAGGAGGTATCACCAGAACACAAAATTAATTCAGAGGGGGATTCAACCGAGTGACCTGGGTTGAAGAGAGAAAGACACTTACTCTGGAGAGTCCACCCCACGGCAAGGAAGAGGGTCCCAATCCACAGCAGACTGGCAAGAGTCCTCATGAGAAAGACACCGAAACTTGCTGGTGGTGTTCATTCAGCCAAGCAGCACATTGTGAGATGCTTTTTTGGAGGGAGACGGGGAGGGAAGCAGGTCTTCTCCCTTTCCTCCTCCCATCCTAGGGCAGCAGCCACAACGGAACGGATTCCAGAGGGTCGAACTGGGTAGCTGTAGAGGATCAGCAGAACCGGATCTCCTCAGGCATGTTCCTTTCCTTTCGCTTTTGCCTGAGAATCCACCAGACTGTGAGAAGAAGGCCGGGCTGGAGTTTCAGGTCACTCCCTCGGATTCACTGATATTGACTGAGGTTGTCATTGGCTGAGGGGAAGGAAAGGGAAAGGAGATACTACTACAGAGAACAGAGTGAGAGGCAGTAGTGAGACGCCCAGACAACTCTACAGCATATGGGAGGGACGGAGGAGCCGATTTCAAAGGTTTCCATTCTGGCTGTGTGCTTTTAGCTATGGTGGCTGTGATCTCACACAGACAAGCAGTATGGTGTAGTGGTCAGAGCGGCAAGCTAGGAGTGAGGGTTCACATCCCCTCTGAGCCATGAAGCTCATGTGGCAACTCACTCTTTCTTAGTCTGACTTACTTCTCGGGGCTCTTGTGAAGGTAAAATAGAGGAGGGGGAAAGCTGAACCCATAAATGGTAGCCTGAGTTCCTTGGAGAAAAGTGGAATTAAAATGTAACAGGTTTCTGATTGATATATATTTCAGAGGAGCTACTTCTCTGAGAATTAACCCTCTGAGGGCAATTTATCCTGTTGCTAAGCTGCACCCTGAAGATAATGTAATATTATTCTTTTATATTTGGTTACATATGATCATCTATGATATATTTAATTATGTTAGGTAACCCCATTTTTCCTTTCTGTATTTTCTTTGTATTATTTCTCTGTCCCTTTCAAAAAATAATGAGAGAGAGAGAGGGAGAGAGAGAGAGAGAGTTGAGCTAGGATCTGGGGGACCCAGGTTCAAAGCCCCATTTTAACATGAGGCTCACTCGGTGCCCTTGCAGCGGTCACTCTCTCTCAGCCTAACCTACCTTATAGGGCTGTTGTGAGGATAAGGGAAGGGAGGAACATATATGCTGCTCTAAGCTCCGGAGACGAAGGGTGGGATAAAAATATGCTGGACAAATAAAGGTTTCGCCTTGCAAGTGACTTGCCATTAATGTATCTGAAGGTGATTGAAACGTTGGCAAACTATGTCCGCAAACCATGAAAAAGTAAGGAGATATTGGTCATGGATATCTGTTCATTCAACGATCTACACATGTTGACGTCTCTTGGAGAGGAGCCAGAGCTTCAGCTGCCACTGGAGCAAACTAAGACTTGGGTTCAAATCACTGCTTTGCAACGAAACTTCTTGACTTATAGGGTAGCCAGCTCCAGGTTGAAAAGTACCTGGAGATCTTGGGAGGTGGAGCCTGGAGAGGGTGGGGTTTGGGGAGGGGAAGGGGTATAATGCCATAGAGTCCACCTTCCAAAGCATCCATTTTCTCCAGGTGAACCAATCTGTCACCTGGAGATAGGGTTGCCCAGTTGCTCGGACTCACCGGCGGGGGAGCGTTGCTTGGGTCCGGGGGCTGCCGATGGATGTGCGTTTGTAACCAACGCTGCTTACAAAATCATTCTCCTGTCCTCCATTTTACCCTCACAGCAACAAGCCTGTGAGGTAAATTAGGCTGAGAGACAGAAAGCCGTGACCAGAGTCAAGGTCACCCATAGAGCTTCCATGACAGAGCTGCGGTTTAAACCTGAGCCTCCCAAACCCGAGTGCGACAGTCTAGCTACACTACACTGATAGGACAGTGTTCGGGGGGGGGGGGGGGCGGATAGCTCCATCCTGACTCCAGTCCTGGTTGTTTGAACATGTTACATTTTATCCCAGATGCTCAAAATCTTGTCCCGGTAAACAGTGAGAATAATTGCCTGAGTATTTGGGGGATGTTTTTGCTTTTAATGCCAAGCCCAATTACAGTGGTCAATAAAACCGCCAACCTACTGTGCATGGTGCCTCCAGTTTGGCTCACAGCCTGGCAAATGCCCATACTTCTCAACACAATGAAAAGGGCATGGAAGGCAAAAGGCAGAGGAGAAAAGATGAAGGGTGGAAAATTTAAGCTGCAGCCGTTTCCCCCAGCATCACCTCTGCCGGCTTTTAGGAAGGACATGCTCATAAGGGGAAAGAGAGGGGTGGAAATTAAAACCACTACCCTAATAATGCCTTTCATATAAAACTATGCTTAGGCCGCATTCAGAATTCAGTAGTCTGGTCAGACCATCTCAAAAACAGAGCTGAATGAAGTGCGGGGGGGGGGACCATAAAAATGATCAAAAAGGGTTGGAGCATTTTTCTTCCAAGGAAACGGTTTGGGGCTATTTAGTTTTAAAAGAAGGAGCGGATGCGTGACAGACGTCCTTACAAATTGCAAATAGTGTGGAGAAAGTGGACAGAAAGATTTCTTCTCCTGTTCTCACAAGAATTTGGGACAGATAGTTCAGTCTGCAGGCGGTGCCTTCGGGGCAGACAACATGTATTTCATCACACAAGGCACAGTTAATAGATGGAACTCACTGCCACAAGCTATACCAATGAGCTGCTGCCTCATATAGCTAAAGTGGCTAATAAATAGATACTAGGTGGGGACACTTGATGGAGAGGATGTAGGATTTGGCTAGACACTGCTGGAAAGGAGGCTCCGGGACCTACGGACCCACGGCCTGACCCAGCAAAGCTGCTGTTATGCCAGGGGGAAAAAATCAACAGGTGTAAATTGCCCACTGCTGTCTCTCCCTACTAAATGAGCGCTACAGTCAGAAATTTTTGCCTTTGAGGAGGTATCACCAGAACACAAAATTAATTCAGAGGGGGATTCAACCGAGTGACCTGGGTTGAAGAGAGAAAGACACTTACTCTGGAGAGTCCACCCCACGGCAAGGAAGAGGGTCCCAATCCACAGCAGACTGGCAAGAGTCCTCATGAGAAAGACACCGAAACTTGCTGGTGGTGTTCATTCAGCCAAGCAGCACATTGTGAGATGCTTTTTTGGAGGGAGACGGGGAGGGAAGCAGGTCTTCTCCCTTTCCTCCTCCCATCCTAGGGCAGCAGCCACAACGGAACGGATTCCAGAGGGTCGAACTGGGTAGCTGTAGAGGATCAGCAGAACCGGATCTCCTCAGGCATGTTCCTTTCCTTTCGCTTTTGCCTGAGAATCCACCAGACTGTGAGAAGAAGGCCGGGCTGGAGTTTCAGGTCACTCCCTCGGATTCACTGATATTGACTGAGGTTGTCATTGGCTGAGGGGAAGGAAAGGGAAAGGAGATACTACTACAGAGAACAGAGTGAGAGGCAGTAGTGAGACGCCCAGACAACTCTACAGCATATGGGAGGGACGGAGGAGCCGATTTCAAAGGTTTCCATTCTGGCTGTGTGCTTTTAGCTATGGTGGCTGTGATCTCACACAGACAAGCAGTATGGTGTAGTGGTCAGAGCGGCAAGCTAGGAGTGAGGGTTCACATCCCCTCTGAGCCATGAAGCTCATGTGGCAACTCACTCTTTCTTAGTCTGACTTACTTCTCGGGGCTCTTGTGAAGGTAAAATAGAGGAGGGGGAAAGCTGAACCCATAAATGGTAGCCTGAGTTCCTTGGAGAAAAGTGGAATTAAAATGTAACAGGTTTCTGATTGATATATATTTCAGAGGAGCTACTTCTCTGAGAATTAACCCTCTGAGGGCAATTTATCCTGTTGCTAAGCTGCACCCTGAAGATAATGCATATATTGTTAATGTATATATTGTTAAAGCTTGTTAAATAACAATATAAATAACAATATGTTGGTATTGAAGATAATGTATATATTGTTAAAGCTACCATCCTACGAGAGCCAGTTTGGTGTAGTGGTTAAGAGCACAGACTCTAATCTGGGAGAACCAGGTTTGATTCCCCACTCCTCCACATGCAGCTGCTGGTGTGACCTTGGGTCAGTCACAAGTTCTCTCAGAGCTGTTTCCTCATGAGCAGTCTTCAAAAGAGCTCTCTCAGCCCCACCTACATCACAGGGTGTCTGTTGTGAGGAGGGGAAGGGAAAGGAGATTGTAAACCACTCAGAGACTCCGAGTGAAGGGCGAGGTATAAATCCAATCTCCTCTTCTTCTTCTCTTCTATGCAAAGTAAATAGGGAGTAAGTCCCAAGGCATTCACTGGATAATTCCATACTGGGAATTTTTTTGCCCTGAGACATCCTATTTTCATATTCATAAAATGAAATGGCAGTTCTACATGACTCATAGTGTAGCACAATATTCCCCACAAAAATCCCTCTATACCTGGAAGTTTCCTTTAGAAAGGGTTCCACTAATCTCTGCAGTTTTCCTTTTGTTCCTTTGCTTTCAGTCTAATTAATTACTCCCAGATATCTTGCCATTCTTTCAGGGCATTCAGTGGTTCTTGTTATGCTTCTAATCTATGCCAATAAAGGGTACTGAACTGATCTGAATTCAGTGGCTAATTAGCTGTTATTGTTTCCTTTGGGAGGTGGATGGTTTATCGACTGCTTTTCATCTTGTCGCCAGCGTCAGTCACTCTTCCTAGTTTTGTATGGTATTGTTTATGATTATCCTAGATCAATTATGAAATAAAGGTAATTTGGAAAAGCAGGTAGTGGTTTTGGCTTTCTCTCTTTCAAACATACACACACTGATAATTTACAATTAATTTACAGATGCAGAGAAAGAAGAAGCCGACCTCAAAAGAACCAGGAAGTAGTTCCTTATGCTGGAAAGAGAAGGAAATCATGAAATTTAAAGGGATGGTTGCCCTGAGACACTTCAATAATTCTACACAAGACAGACTGAAGCTGCAATTGTCTGTATGTGTCCCCCCCCCCCAAGAATCACAAATCAGGTCTATAAAAAGGTGGGGGGAAATGCACAGCAAACTGAAATTCAATGGATTGCTCACGCTGCATAGAAATAATTGCTCAAGTGGTTAAGAC